TCTCTCTCTCTCTCTCTCTCTCTCTCTCTCTCCCTCGCACTCTGTCTGTCTCTGTCTCTCATCCCAATGTCAATTACTACTCCGTTCAATGATTGTGCTTTAATGTAGTTTTTTAATCAAAATTTTTTTTGCCATTAAATTACTCGTTGAGTGAAAATTTTTAGCATTTTAAGTGCACTAATAGACAAAGATTCAAGAATTTAATTCAAGGCTATGTTTCCCATTTGAATAACTATTATACATGCGATTATTATTTTTGTTAAACATGTAGAAACTCATTGAGGAATATTCTTTATGAATTGAAGTGCTATACAAATAGAGTGACAGAAAAATTACAGACTATGAAAAAAGTTGGGGTTAATAACGTTGAGTTCATACCTAATGTAAATAACATATAAAAAGTGAGACAAGTTGTTAGTCTACGAGTACTCCTACTTTCGCTGCATATTTGCGCAAACATTGCAATAACAACATAACTCCAGACTATATATCAAATAAAATAATAAAAACTATTGATTCAATGATTGAAAATTTTTTATTAGTATTTATTATTAGTTTATATTCTTGGAGTCAAATGTAACGAAGAATTTATTTGATAAATATTTGATTAAATAGTTGCTTATATAGATTTACAGCAAATAAAGTGCCAAATCATACGAGATATATATTCAAACGATGTCTTATTGTCAACACATCGATCAGTATTAGAGTTATGAATGCATTTGAACTTAAAGTTTGATATATTTTTGAGTGTCTTCTCTCATAGAAAGAGTTATCAAAACTATATACAGTATTTTATCAACTGGGTGAACCGATTGGGTTTTGGCATTTGGTTCACACAAATGATATATTCATACAACTGATTACATGTTAAAAGTAAGAATGTGTTATTGTTTTATGAATATAGGTGACATTGCTTGGTTTTTGTAAGCACCAGTGATCTCTTTATACTCTTGTACTGTAATTTAACTTTATGTTAAGGTTTTTTGGTTTTATGTACAAAACAAATATTAATGCTGTGATCTATATGTGGGTTTTGTCACAAAATATATGTGGTTCACACAACTGATTGTATTGAATATTGTATAATATTACTCAAGTTTGTTCACACATTGTATTAAATAAAGTCCTAATATTAAAGATATACATTTTGAACACTTTTTACATGACATTTACAACGAATGAAAAATTTGTGACTAAATTATGGCAAACAATACTCTTTGTTTGTCACAAGAATTTAACATTCAATGAATTCTCCAGAATTGTGCAGTCGTTTGATTACTCGTACAATCATTTCAATGCAAATATAGATAAGGAAGAGATACTCTCTTTCTTCTCTATTCCTATTGATGTGTTTTTTGAATATTTGAATTAATTACAAATTTAGTCATATATAGTCAACAAACTATTTGTTATACAATACAAGCCTAATATCTATTGATTAGCCGTTTTTGTGTATAACCGTATCGTTATATTATGTGTTGCATTGTGTGAACACTTCTTTGAATGCAATCCATGGATAAGTGTTGTCTCGCGAGCACTGAATAAAGGCCTAGAAATTTGACGCGAGTGCTCAGTAGGCCATCCACTCTCTCTTACCCGCTATATATCCCAATCCTAACTTAACTGTCAGTCTCTTCAATATATTAAATATAATAAAATTAATCAAATACTATCACTGATTGGCATAAATTATATACAAATGTCAAGTCTTGAAAATTTTCGTTTTAACCCTAATTTAATTAACATAATTATTTGTGACACAATCTGTCATATAAAGTGTAGTGTACGGACACATGCACTCAAAGAATGCAATTATTTATAGAAATTGCAGAATATTTAGCGAAAAGCAGTGTTAAGCCACCGAAAGGTTTAAATCCTAATTGATTTTTAAATACACAAAACTTTGATTAAATTAAACCAAAATTTCAAATGTTTTTTTTGCTTATAATTAGAGACTAATCCGATTATAGAAAGTGATAACAATGTTTAGTCGGTATCTTTGAATTAAAGTAATTGTGGTCATTATTCACCACAAGTGTTGTAATCATTAATTTAAATCATTCATCTCGTCCTCATCTCTTGTCTTTTAACATTTTTATTACATAATGTTTTATACATTATTATATAATATATAAAATGTATTTATTTTCTTAAATGCCTTTACTTTTTATGCATAATAATGTCACTCAAATCCTATTACCTAAAGACTAGATATTTTCTTGCAATACTTGTAGTGAAGTTTTTTTAAACAGAAATGCTATACAAATCCTTTACATTAACCGAAGGTTATACTTATTAAGCAGAATATTCTGTATAAATATAATCCAATTTTATTATTTAATTCGATTACATGTTTAGCAGAATATTCTGTGTATATATTCTCTAAAGAATCCGTTGAATAGTAATTACCAGTAAAATGAAAAGCAAATGATCTCTATATATGAAATAAATTATGGAAATGAAATGGCAATGGATGTCATCAAACAAATTCACTCATAACTTATAATTATGTTTACATTTCTGTTCATTTGACTTGAATTAAGTCTGAAAACATTCCTCTCATACAAGTCTCTGATACTAATCATAACTTAAAATATATGTCTCGCTATTCATATCAAAGGCACAATTGTTGGGCTAAATATAGCCATTAATATCTGGGTTCGTCCGCACCGGTAGTTATTATCACACGTTTATCAGATTATCTCTGTTTCTGTTTATATAAACAAAGCTTTTATGTAAATTAATTTATTTTCATCAAAACAAAAACACTACAAAAAACAACAAAACTTAATTAAAGTTTGTTTTACAAAAGCAATTATAAGAAGTTAATTTTGAGTAACATAACAATAACTAATTATAATTAATTAAATCCATTGAGTCGAGTGATACGCCAAAATCACCCGATATTATAGCTATAAAGTACAACAAATATAAAATTTAATTAATAAATATTGCAAAACTAATACATGTTAGCAAACAAACAAATACCTCATCCCTTGCAAACGGACATCTCAACAATTGCCTCAAATTCTCGGGTTTACACTAAAAAACAAATACAAAAAATCAGATCGCAATCAAATCAATCATCTCAAAAAATATGACCGACATCTTCGTGAAGAGCTGTCTCTTCGGTTACGCAGTATTTGATGTTTCCCTCGTGAAAGAGTATAAGAATGGCCGCGGGATCGCCCTCTTCGGTGTCTTCGCCGATACGTGTGGGCAATATTGCGTNTCAAAAAATATGACCGACATCTTCGTGAAGAGCTGTCTCTTCGGTTACGCAGTATTTGATGTTTCCCTCGTGAAAGAGTATAAGAATGGCCGCGGGATCGCCCTCTTCGGTGTCTTCGCCGATACGTGTGGGCAATATTGCGTTGATATACAGGTGTCGGTCGATGTCCTTAATGAATTCCGGTATGTATTGGCCGAAAGTGTCGGTCGTGTTTTTAAAATAGGACTTATTCTCAAGAGAGTGCACTTCTGATACCCGATCATAGCCGCCATCAGCGGTCATATTTTGCTGGACGAGTACGAAGTTTGGTCCGTCGGTCTCGCCGTCGTCGGTGAACGACTGCGGCTGAAAGGCTGCGGTGGCGTTGAAGTGGTGGGTGTCATACGTATAGTAATCTCCGTAAACCAATATATGTAAGTTCTTATGGTTGGCGTCGAAAGCGTTTTCAATGAGTTCATGAAATTCAATCAAAGGATACAATTCACTCGATTTCATCGACAATTCTGGGATTTAAAAATTAATAATTTTTTGTTTTATAATTATTAAACTTCTAATGGTTTGTTCACTAAATGGATATGTTTTAAATCAAACCGTTTAATGAACACGTTTTTTGCTAATTAATAGTTTGATAGCAAATATGGATAATTACGGAGTAAGACATGATTTGTGAGATTGAGTTCGTCGTCGTGTTCTACTAAATGGTCGGACAGATAACTGAAACCAAGTGAGAACTTATGGTCGAACTCCAAGTGCTGGTGGCTCTCGAGGTCTGGGACACAGAACTCGCGGTCGTGTCCTTTAATTTGTTGCACTTTCCAGAAGTCTTTCCCAATGAAGAGGTAGTGTTCAAAAGTGAACGGATCTTCGCCCACATATGTTGTCGTGAATCCCAACTTAAATATGCCGTCATTTTTGGCCAAAGCTCTGAACATATTTATTGAGCCAAACTTTTGCTGTTTGCTGTCCACACATATAGACAGTAATGCTTTAAATAAGACATTAGTTTGTTATTAAACTTCATTTATTATTACCCAAACTTACAGAATATTATACACGATTTGAAAACCATTGTTATTGAATACTTGATTACAATTGATTTGATTTTTTGCAAAAAAATATGCGTTGAAATTATTTTTGTTTATAATGTTTAAATATAAATGCGTTTAAATTTTAATGAAACCTAATATTTATGTATTTTCTAATTAATTAATTCTTATAACACGTCTTATAAGAAATAACTCAAAATATACTTTTCATTACAATTTGTCAATGATTTTCACGTCTCATAAGAATAATAAAACTTTACAACAAATACTATTTATATTCACCAAAAATTAAAATATTTGCATAAAAACAACAAAATGAAACTGAAGTTTGTTTTACAAAAGCAATTATAAGAAGTTTGAGTGAAATAACGGCAACTAATTATAATTAATTAAATCCATTGAGTCGAGTGATACGGCAAATACCATCAGATATTATAACTATAAAGTAAAACAAACATAACATTAAATTAAATAATACTGAAACACAAATAGATGTTAACAAACAAAAACAAATACCTCATCCCTTTCATACGGACATCTCAACAATTGCTTCAAATTCTCGGGTTTGCACTGAAAAACAAATACAAAAAACAATTAAAATTAAATCAACCACAATCAAAACAATCATTTCAAAAATATGACCGACATCTTCGTGAAGGGCTTTCTCTTCGGTTACGCAATATTTGATGACTCCTTCGTGAAGGAGTATAAGAATGGCCGCGGGATCGCCCTCTTCGGTGTCGCCGCCAATACGTGTGGACAGTATTTGGTTAATATACAGGTGTCGGTCGATATCCTTAATGAATGCCGGTATGTATTTGCCAAAAGTGTCGGTCGTGTTTCTGATCTTGATCTTTTCCAAGATGGAGTGCACTTGTGTCACCCGATCATAGCCTCCATCGTCGGTCATATTTTGCTGGACGAGTACGAAGTTTGGTCCATCAGTGACGGCGTCGTCGGTGAACGACTGCGGCTGAAAGGCTGCGGACCGCAACTTTATCACACACATTTTGCCTATCATTAGCGGCGGTTAGTATATTATGTCCAGAGATACCAACCGCAGTTTCTACAAAAGTTAGTGAAGTACCCAAAGCACGGCTTCCATCATTAGGAACGATCTTATCGTCATTTCTGTAATTAAACATTGATTTTTTGTTATTATTATAAAACATTTAATGGTTTGTTCACTAAATGGATGTTTTTAATTGGGTTTGAAATTATTTTTGGTTTTAAATCAAACCAATTATCCGTTTAATGAGCAAAATGTCATTTTTGGTCGCTAATCATTAGTTTGATCGCAAATATGGATAATTACGGAGAAAGACATGATTTGTGAGATTGAGTTCGTCGTCGTGTTCTACCATATGGTCGGACAGATAACTGAAGGCGAGTGTGAATTTGTATTGAAACTCCGAGTGCTGTTGGCTCTCGAGGTCTTCGACACAGAACTCGCGGTCGTGTCCTTCCGTTTGTTCCACTTTCCAGAAGTGTTTGTCAATGAAGAGGTAGTGTTCAAAACTGAACGGCTCTT